TTGCATTTCTGTATATGAGCAGTGAAAACATGGAAAGCCAAATTGGTATATAGGTTAATACAATTCCTATCAAAATCTCAGCAAGACTTTTTGTAGATGTAGACAAGATTTTTCTAAAATTTATATGGAAATCCAAAGGAAGTAGACAAGATAAAACGATTTTGAAAAAAATGGAAGGAATGACTCTACCCAAGCTAAAGACTCATTTTATAGCTGCAGTTTAGTTAAGACTTTGTGGTATTTATAGAAAGAGGGATATAGGTTAATGAAATAGAATAGAGACTGCATAAATAACCCCACACAGTACAGTCAAATAATTTTGCACAAATGTGCAAAAGCAATACAATGGAGGAAAGATAGTCTTTCCAGCAAATGGTGCCAGAGCGTTTAGATATCCATAGGCACAACTATGAACTTCAACCTAAACCTCACATCTTATACAAAAATTAATTCAACATTGATCATAGATTTAAATATAAACCATAAAACTATAAACCTTTTTGAAGAAAAAGTAGGAGAAAATCTTTAGAAATTAGGTCTTGGTGTAGAGTTCTTAGACATAACACAAAAGCATCATTCATAAAAAAATTTGATACATTGGACTTTATCAAATTTAAGAACTTTTGTTGTATGAACAATCCCATTAAGAACAGACAGGCTACAGGCTGGGAGAAAATATTTGCGCATCATGTATCTGACAAATGACTTGAATCTATGGTATAGAAAGAAATGGCAAAATCCATTGGAATTAAAAAACAACCAACCCAAATGGACAAAATACATGATAAGATATTTTCCTAAAGAAGATATATTTGGATGGCCAATAAGCACATGAAAAGATGTTCAATATCACTAGCATTAGGGAATTGAAAAATAAGACCAAAGTGAGATGTCACTATATTAGAACAATGAAAATGGAAAATAGTGACAATACCAAATACTGGTGAGGGTGCAGAGGCTCTGGATCTCTCATACATTGCGGGTGGGCGTGTGAAATAGAACAATCGCTCTGGAAAACTGTTGGCAGTTTCTTTAAAAACTCAACATACACTTACTATATGACTCGGTAAGTCATGCTCTTGGGCATTTACTACACAGAAATGAGAACTTATATTAAACAGAGTTTTTGTGTAAATATAAAGCTGATAATGGCTTTATTTATTGTAGCCAAAAGTGAAAACAACTCAAATGTCCTACAGTAGGTGACTGGTTAAACAAACTGTGGCATCTTACCATAGAATACTACTACCACTAAAAACAAATGATATATTGATATATACAACAGCTTGAATGGCTCTGCAGGGCATTATGCTGAGTGAAGGGGGAAAAAAAAACAAAAAAAAAACTTAAAAGACCACACACTATGATTTTATATTTATAGCACTCTTGAAATGGCAATATTATAGGGATGGAGAACAAATTGGTGGGTGGTTGCTAGGGGTTACAGATGTTGAGGGGGATGAAAGTAGACATAACTTTAAAGGGGTAGCAGAAGGGAGATCTTTGTGATGGAATAGCTCTATATCTTAATTGGCTGGTTCTTAAATATACA